TCTTTTTCATTAGGATCGCATCCACTTCAGAAGCTAAAACAACGGTGAGTAACTCAACTCAATGTGAACTTTTTATTGGTGATGGAAAAAAATATACGGTTTTTGGAGTGACCTACTCCTTAAGTCATGTCGTAGGCCTGTCGTAAGCTTGTCACATGCGACTAAGTTTTACCGTGTAAATCGGCTCTAATATATTTGTAAGTTTATTTAGATCAATCGCGTTCAGTTGTATTACTTATCAGTTGTATTTTCTTGGTTTACACACTCGCCTATAAAAGGCCGTGTGTACAGCGAGAAAATACAAGCGACTTGAGGGAAATTCTATGGTATACCACGAGAAAGCGATCCCATTTGTATGTGGGTTTGGATCAATCAGGACCCAGTGGCTTCTGTCGATAAAAAAACCGTACAGCTTTCGAGAACCCTACTAATTTAACCATAGGAAGAAGACACTTTTTTGTTCTAGCACTTAGGTAAGGGAACAATAACTCTCGTTTCACTTACCTTTTCATTCCTGTTGTGCTCGATTAGGTACACGTTTGAATCTGGAAAAATTGGTGGAGATCTCTGTCATGTGTAGAGAGAAACATCACGAGAATGAACCTCTCAATTACTATTGCCAAAACTGCAAGGCTTGCATTTGCGACACGTGTGGACAAACACGCCATGCAAATCACACCAAGGTGGATATCAAGAAAGCCGCCGAAGAACAAAAACTAAAATTAGAAAAGCTTGTGCAGGAAATGAAACTAGAGATTGGTGAGCATATGATTCAAATGGAGAAAACAACAGAAATGTTGAGGAAAAACGGAGAGAAAATTACTGCCGCTCGTAACAAGGTGCTCACCACTGTTGAAGAGCTTATTCGAGTGTTAAAGGAGCACGAGATCACCGTGGCGACCAAGTTAGATCTTATTAAAAACGAACAGCAAAGAGATTACTCAACGCAGTTAGAACACTTTCAGATATCTGCCACGCAACTGAAAACGTCTGTGGAACATTGCGAAAGAATTTTAGAAGGCAACAACAGTGTTGAAATTCTTGAAGCGCAGCAGGGTGTCATTGAAAGGTGTAAAGGTCTCCTAAATGCGAAGAAAATGAACATTTATAAACCATCGCATGTTCAATACAAGACGCGTGAAGAGGATATCCAGAATGTGAGACGCGCGTTTCTGGGTGAAGTTGTTGTTAGTACGACCGATCCTCTGCAATCAGTGGCGGAAGGGAAAGGCTTAAAAGAGGCAGAACCTGGACGAGAAGCTGGCCTAACAATCACAACAAAGAATTCAGAGGGACAACAGTGTTATAACGAGATCGATCAGATCGTTGTAAAAGTTCGCACCCCTTCAGAACAAGACCTCGACACCAACATTGCAGACAACGGAGACGGCAAATACAGCGTCACCTACACACCCGAATGTGACGGGCATCATGACGTGGTGATTGAAGTTAATGATCAACCGCTGACTAGTGGTCCATGGAGTGTTCACGTGAAGCCGCATCATCAATACCATGCTGTAGGTTCTATTGGATCACGCGGTAAAGAACAAGGACAATTTGATCACCCCTGCGACATAGCAATAAATGCCAAGACAGGGAACATTGCGGTTGCTGACGCTTCTAATAAAAGAATACAACTTTTTAGCTCAGATGGAATCTATTTGAGAGAGTATGGTCAGAAAGGACTTAATGGCAAGAAACTTGATTATCCCATGTCAGTAACATTTAATAACACTGGTGACCTTACTATCTGTGATTCCGGTGACGTGTTCTGTTTCAATGAAAGAGGTCAGTTCATTAAAAATTTCGTCAACGACCACTTGATCAAAGCGGGATACATAAACACTGCTTTTGATGGCCGCATGCTGGTGTGTGACTGGAATGACAAAACGGTCAAAGTCCTCTCCCCTGACGGTACAGAATTACTACAGTCTTTCAGGGCTCCAGGCTGCAATGAGTCTCCGTGGTTAGCTCTACGTCATCGCGACATGTTCTACGTCGCCTATGGTTGGGCTCACTGCGTCAAGGTGTTTAACGCTGAAGGGGAATTTCTATATGACATTGGTACAACGAGGCCTGGTAAGCTGCACCGCCCTACTGGACTCGCTGTTGACAAGTTTAACAACTTGATAGTCTGTGACGGTTTCAATGTTGAAGTGTTTACGCTGGAAGGAAAATTTGTAAGTTCGATAAAAGGACAGCGCGCCCAGCTTCTACACCCTTTAGCTGTTGCTGTGTCAAACGCTGGACAGGTTTTCATTACTGATATAGGAAAACACTGTGTTCATGTTTTTGAGTGAACAACTATTTGAGCTGTTTCGATTTAGTCTAAGTAGTACGTCCCTCCAGATATCCCAACATAAGGATGGAAAGCGATAATTTTAGTACCAATAATTTTCTTGGCGCCTCTTGTAAACATGCAGATCTACCGACTCTTTCCACCGAAAACAATTCCACCCACTGCTAAACAGAAATTAACAAAGAAACACCCTAACACTGCAATCACTGGCAATTGGTAGAAGGTTTGTTCGTTAGTCTTCCACGTCACACCACTTTAAAATCAGAGAATTTCAATGCAAAATCCTAACTTGTATTGTCTTTACGAATGAGAAACTCAGTCGAATTGGTGTGGTTGAATCACCAAGCTGTACATCCTGTCAAGAGGTTACGGAATCCGTCGAGCATTTACTTTCCTCCTGTAGCACATCTTTCGATTTTTGGAAAAACGTCTTATCCTGGCTAAGGGATAATGATGTTGGAACAATCAATGAGTCAGATTTGATCTCTGGAAAATTTGATATTGTAAATGACTATTCAATTAATCACAATGTTTTATTAGGTAAATATTGTAACTACTGCAGGAGATGTCTGAATAGCTTACCTACACTAAGAGGTGTTATAGCTAGAGCAAGTCGTGTATGCAATATCGAGCTCCATGTTGCCAGGGAGAAAAACAAGCTCCTTACGCATTTTCAAACGTGGGAAAAGATAATTAATGTATTAATATAATAGATAACTCGACAGCCTTGAGTAGAGTAGCCATTTTGTTAACTTTAATTTGCTCAGTAGTATCGCATTTTCTTTTATGACTTTTCTTTCTTAGCTTTGCTTGCTGAGTAGTTGTTCTCTTTGTTTTAACTTTTTTATTTATTCGCATGTGTATCATAATCATCAATGTTTGTAATTAAAATGGTCTTTATATTTACAACAATAACAACTGTATTTGTATTTGTAATTGGGAAAACTATTTTAAAAAGGTCACTCAGTGGCGGATCCAGACATTGAGCTAANTGAATGGCAGCGAGGCTGGAGGCGACCTTGTTTTGATATAGATCTCACTGCTTTTGTTGTGTAAATCAAGTTGTTCTTATGCTAAGTATAGGTGCATTTACATGACAAATTAGCAAAAAGAAGGGGTGCTCGGGCCCCCCGGGTCCCTCCCCAAGATCCACCATTATCACTGAACCTGAGACATCTGTAAAATGGTCTATTGTTTTCGTTGAACTAATAAGAAACAAAATAAACTACAAAGCCGTGAACGAAGATCCTGCTTGATTGAACTTTGGATCTCACAGGAGATCTAATCAGCCAAACTTGAAAACTAACTGAACGATGATAAGTCAAAGACTGCTGCAAGACTGACACAACGTAGTTACAAGGATGTTTCGGCTAGCCAGACTAGCCAGCTTCTTCAGGTTTAAATGTTACTAAATTATGAAAATGAAATTACAATATTATATTTTGGTGGATGTCGTAACACATGTTTCGAAACTAAAAGGAGTGGAGGAAATGTCGATGAACAAAACAAAATATATAAAGTAAAGATAAAACCGGTCTACGAAGGTTAAAAGTTTTACGATTCATCGCTTCCTCGATCCGTTCGATCAAACCACGGGACTCTGGTGTTCCTGTTAAATCTATCAAAAAGGACTCTCTGGCTTTTTTTTAATGAATCACGCGAGGAGTGGATAAGTTAAAATGAGATTAGTTGCACGTCAGTGTAGCAGGGATTAGGATGAGCAGGAAAATATTTAGCAACAGTGGTGGGTTTGGATTTAATGTTAGTTTTGTCGAAAGAGCGTCTATGTTCGTTGAATCTGTCTTTGAGACGTCGTTTAGTTTCACCTATGTATTGTAAATGGCAGCTGTTACACTGTATCATGTAGCTTAAAGTTTTGTTGTTACAGGTTATGTGTGAAGTGATGTGACGGGTTTCGCCTGTGGGAAAGAAAGTATGGTATGCAAGGAAGTATAGTGTGTGAGACCGTTATTCATCTAAATGAGTAAGGACAAGTAGCGCAATCTTATCCACAGCGGAATGAGCCCGCACAGCAGAATGAACCTCAGGCTTTCAAAGAGTATGTTAATCTCAGTTTTCACTGCTCGTCTTTTATCATTACAAGTGAGAACCATTTCAGTCTGTCAGAAAAGCGCGGCTTCTTTTATGCGGTTTTCACTAGATATATATTTGTTATTACTTTTTAAGGTAGCCTGCGTAGTGAAACGTTCCCACACGACTACCTTTTTCCGCATTCTGACTGCAGGCAAATTGGAGCGAGAGCAAAAAATATCGACGAAGCAGGGGGTGGGGGGGGGGGGGNGGAGCCCCACCCCATGTTACGTCTATATCCGGCGCTCGCGCGATGCGCCAGAATGCGAAAGAAGCTCTTCAAACGGGAACTTTTATTATTTTATTATTATTTTATTATTTTATTCCTCCAATTCCTAGCTAATACATAGATATGTAAATATAACGTAAAGAAAGTAAATAGTAACTGATAGTATTTTGTATGGAAGAAAAAGAAAAAAAACGCATAAAACAGAAATAACATCACTTAAATTGCACGGGAACTATTGCTATGCAGGCTAATTTTAAGAACGGGGAATACACAGCCAGTGGCGCACTTTCTTTAAGGGGCGTTCCACCTACCCAAAAGAAGCTAAGAGTTACGCATGTTTGCTATGTCCTGGATATAAGGTCCTTTCCAATCCAATGGTTTGAAGAAGCCATAGGCCATGTATAACTCATCACCTGGCAGTGTTCCCAGAGCATGAAACGACTTGCAGGAGTATAAAACGTTGCTCCTTAACTCCCCTGGGAAGAATCATATCCACCCTTTGATGGAGACAATTTGCTTATGCATACACAACATAGTTGTCAAACGGCAGCCTTCTCGAGGTAACTGTGTCGTGACTTATGGGCCATATTTTGAACATTTTGACGGAAGAGGTAACTAGTACTTTTGTTTTTTAATTACTTTAATGACTTTTTGATTTATGTTCTATTTAAAACGTCTTCTACGTATAGAGGCAAACGGGGCTGTCCTGAGCTGAAACTCTTACAAAACTGACAGTACTCCATGCGTCCAGACTTTCCAGAGGGATTACTGCTGGACATGATTGATATGAACGAATATTTTGTTAGTTAGTTATCTTCCTTTAATTCCATTAATGTGATTGCTCGGCTCAGTTTGGGTGTAGAATGTTTTCACAGATCGAAGCCTATTGTCGGCTTTTATTATTACGTTGAAATGACAATTGGAATACGCTGAAATGACACTGGAAATCGTCAATCGATTAAGAATTATTTCTCTTTGTCCCTGTGCCCCATGTATAAGCATACATGTATTATTTGATTTCTTTCAGTAACTTGGGGATGAGTGAGTTGCTCACCTCACCAACTTGTCTCTGTATTGTTTGCAACCACAGTTTTGATGATCTATCATCTCTGGCAGATCACAACAAAACTAATGCCAAAGAGAAACCCCACAAACGCGATTATAATAAGACATTCAATACAGAGATAACTTGTAAAGAGCGCAAGAGATCACACACTGTTGTTATGCCATTTTCAGCTCAGTTTTTGAACAAGATCACGTTTTACTATGCACCAGAAAGTAAATGGTGAATTGCATAGTTGTCCTTTTTGCGATAAGACTTTTAGAATAACAGAAGCTTGGAAAAGGCATATTTTGACACATGAAGGGGAGTCAAGTCCTTATAAATGTTCCTTTTGCAATCAGTGTTTCCAACAGATGCAAGATCTTAAAGTGCACCGGGAAATACATGATGGCATTGACAGACCATATATTTGTCCATTGTGCAAAAAAGAATTTGAATCCAAGTGGGTATGGAGGAAACACGTTAAGAATCACACTGCCAAGAAGCGTTTCAAGTGTGCACACTGTGATATGAGGTTTAGAGATGCATCTCATCTGGATGAGCACAAGAGGGTTCACACTGGTGTCAAACCTTACAAGTGTTCTTATTGTGACAAAACTTTCTCAAAGACATCAAATTTGAAACTGCATGAGACGATACATACTGGTCTGCTTGAGTACCCCTGTCATCATTGTGATCAAGTATTTAGACATCCATCATCACGTCATGCACACACAGTAAGAATACATAATGGCTTTACACGTCATGTGTGTGACTTCTGCAACAAACACTTTGCCAGTCGCTTTAATCTTAATAGGCATGTCAGGGTGCACACAGGCAAAAAGCCATACAGCTGCTCTCAGTGTGACAAACAGTTTTCTGATCAGACAGGTTTCCGCAGACATACAGTTGTTCACAGCACTGACAAGCCATACAAATGCACTGAGTGTGGAAGTAGCTACAAAAGAAAATCGAGTCTGACCACACATAACAAATGGAAGCATTGTAAGGAGGATCAGCTTGTAAAAGAAAGTGACACAAATGTTGTAGTTGTTGCTGTACTTTAAAGCAGGATATGATGCCATTCAGATTCTGTGGCATTGACGTATTGATCAATTTTGGGAACTTTTAAGTAAACTTGCATTCTATTATGGCTATCTTAATGCGGTAGTTTTCCATTCAGTGTCTCTTGTCTGGAGTGTTCTTCATTCAATATTGTGCTCTTAATTCTTATTTATCAGATAGTTTTTTTCATCTGATAGTTTTTCACTGTATCCATATTTCGCTTTTCAATAACACTCTCAACAGCTTCGTTAGCATGTTTTGTTGAGTTGACAGTTGGTGCTTCTGAGTTCAATATTTATTATTAAAGATTTCTCTGTTTATGGTGTTGAAAAGTAAGCTTATTTTACTGGCTTAGCAAGTGATGTTTACTGTTCAATAAAATGTTCCCACTGAGGAGTTGTAGTTTGCAGCTTCATTATCAGTTAATTAATGGATCTTTTTTCTGTTGTTTTTGATTAATCTTTAAATTTTACTCTCTGTCTTCATGTGTGTGTACAGAAAGATGTAAAGGAAGTATGGAAGTATGGTCTAAAAGATTGTGTTACTTTGGCCTTTCCACCACAAAATACTCCTCCACTCACACCATGTCATGAAATGGGAGATTCTTTATTTTACTATTAAAATAATAATAATAATAATAATAATAATAATAATTTTACCAATTTATATAGTGCATATTTACATATTCTGATCAATAGCGCTTAACAATCACCATAAAAATAAAATAAAATTATAAATTATAAAAATACTTCTTAAAAAGATAAGTCTTAAGTCGAGATTTAAAACTGTCAAGTGATGTTGCTTGACAAAGCTCTTCAGGTAGGCCATTCCAGAGTTTCGGAGCTGCTGCTGAAAATGATCTGGCCCCCAATGTTGGAAGCATCTTTCCCTTGGGATGGTCCAATAAGAGCTTACCAGTAGACCTAAGATTATATGATGAATTCGATTTTATACTAATGAGATCACTAAGATAAGTTGGTGCAAGGCCATAAGGCCATTATATAGAAACTAGATTTTTATAAATTATTGCATGCTCGTTTATACTCTATACTTTTAATTATTACTTGTATTTTTAGATTTATATCTTGTATTTTTTAAATTTTATCTTGTATTTTTAAATTATCACGATGTCTTGTATTTTTAATTATCATATTTTTAGTCCAGGGCCCCTCTGGATATCAGCCTCATCACTGAATGGGCCACCCTAGCTAAATAAAGTTTACCTTTACCTTTGCCTTTATAAATACATTTAAAAGTCAAAAGTAAAATCTTATAATCAATACACAAAGAAACCGGCAGAAAGTGTAGCTCATAAAGCGCCGGTAGGTTCCTGCGTGGCAGGTGTTCAAAGCAGAGGGAGAAGGGGACACTAGAAGCAAAAAGTGCACCCCTCCAGTGGTGCTTCTAGTTTTCCCCTTTCCTTTCGATTTTAACTAAAGGGAAGCCTTACACAAAAAAAGGGATCGCTTCTTCAAGCTGGAGGTGCATAAAGGGGTAGAGATTTCACAAACACAGTGAAGTATAAATAAGGGAGAGAAAACTGCTACTTAGGGTATTTTAAAGACCTTTCAAAATAACTGGTCATCATGGGGCTATGCCGTCCAAGTTTGTAGAAAAGGGATGGAGGGTGTTACATTAGAACATGAGCAGTCGATGTTTGTCCCTGCATGCAGAAATCCTGTGAGTGACAAATTTAGAGAAGTTAAATTATACAATTTAGGGAAAGGAAATAAAAAATGGGGGGATCGTCGGAATTGGGCAAGACAGGAATTCTCGTAACTTTCAAGGAAAAGAAAGAGGCTACTTGCAGTCTAGTAATGTGTCTACTGCGTAGCTTTGTGAAAAGAGTACAATTTTCTGTTGAAGGATTTTGAAAGGGTTACTGTTCTTTTGAAGCATTTATATGGATTTGGAAGTTGGAGTGGATCCTACCTGTTTGTTGAGTAGTTCTCCCCTCCATCCCTCCCCCTCCCCCCCCCACACCCGTCTGTGATTTCAAACCACCTGAAAAATGTATTGCATTATCAAAAGAATTTGCCTCTATTTCACACATCTGTTTCAATTGACTCCCATTAATTTCACAGTAATATAAACCGGGGAGGGCCATGTGGACGACTTAATTGGACTTTATTTTGAAGTAATGTTGCTTAATTTGCAAGCCAAGGTGAGTATTTTTATTTAGCAATAATTTTTGTGATTAGATTGTAGAATACCGGGCCACTCATTTGCATCTCACTGAACTTGAATGGTTCCTTTTGTTTTTATATGCTTCGTTCTTAGAAGCTTTGAGATGTATGCGTGAGATATATTTTACGAATAAGTGCTAAAATCGCTCCCAATCTTCGGTTTTGGCCGGTTAGTTTTTAGAATCTTTTCCATTTTCTGGTGATAAACTTCCTTACCAGAGTCAAAAATTCAAGTGGGGTAGTGGAGCTGTGAAATTGTGTACTGTAGACATACCATTTAAATGTGGACTTACATCAGTCACTTGCCAGGGAAAGGTTTCGACATTGAAGACAATCAACCATGTACAGTTAACCTCTCTAATACGGACACCGAAGGGACAGAGCGAAGTTTGCGTATTAGAGAGGTGTCCGTATTGGAGAGATCACTATGATGACGTCACTTTTAAGTCTCCACTGTCAGTTTAGAGTGTTTAGTAATGAAAATCTTAATTACACCTAACGCCTTTCATTTCCAACTGTTTTAAATTGTTACTTAACAAATAAAGAAGCCTAAACTGTGTATTACACTGTGATAAAGCATGACGGGCATTTGAGAACTCAAGGGAAATGTAGAAAACATGAGCTGCAGGCGAGTGCTTTCTACATTTCTCGAGTGTTCTCAATGTCTGGAGTGTTTTATCACAGTGTAATACACAGCTTAGGCTTCTTCATTTGCATTATGATATAGAGATAATGTAGCGAAAAACAATAAAACAGGCTTTTTCTATGTTTTATACTCTGATAAAACATGGGTTTTTGACCAATCAGAGCACGTGCAGGGTCCTATCTATATTATAACGTTGTATAGAACTGCACTGTATGCAGAATATTGAATTGGCTATTGCCACAGTATTTTCGATTACACTGTATTGTATTTGCATTTGTCAATGTAAGTTTTGAAAACTAACATTTTGACATGTTCTGGTATTGCTATCGCTGAATGATAAAGTGTCAATCTTTGTGTAACCGCCGTCAGGAAATGGTACATACCCCAAATTATCGACACCTGGTCCCGGAAGTGTCCATAATAGAGGTTAAATTTGTATGAATTTGCTCCCTAGGGCCAAAATTTAGTGTCTGTTGTCCATTTTAGATAGGGTCTGTATTATAGAGGTTTTTTTTAGAGGAAATGTATGAGAATTTTGTTGTTACATAGGAAACTGTCTGTATTAGAGAGGTGTCCGTATGGAGAGGTTTGACGGTATTTAAAAAATAGATTCCATGTTGTCATACCTACATTCTGTAGTTGATCTCAGTTGACTTTAAGATGGGGTAAGAACAACAAAGTGGCTTATGAGGTGATAGCTGAGAGTGTCCCTGATGTAAAAAGCTTCACTAGAAGAAAAGCCACTAAGAACAGACAATAACAGCGACAGTATCTTCCATCAATCAACCAACCCTTCACACACAGTGAAATATAATACGCGCCAAAAAACGCAAGTTAAGTATGTGCAATTTACTACCATTTTTCCCGCGAAAAAAAACACAGAAATATTGTGAATTTTAATTCACATTTACAGAGTAAAACACAAGTGCAGATGGCACAGATTATACCAAGTACAGTCAAACCTGTATATAATGGCCCTGTATATAGTGGTCATCCTGTGTATAACGGTCACTGTGCAACTTCCGAAAAATCATCCCTTGTATTTACTGTTAAGTTGACCTGCACATAGTGGTCACCTGTTTATAACGGACGCGGTCACCCTTAAGACTTCCTGAATCCAAAATTCCGTTATCTTTTACCTGTATACAACGGTCACGAAATTGCATTACGATTAACAAATAATGACAAGCTTCATCAGCTCGTTAAATAGCAGCCAGTAAGGCAGGGGTCTCACAAAAATACAAATGAAGGGGTGAGTGGAAAAAAACCCTAAGTGACTCTTGATCTCATGTCAAATTCTCCTTTACTGTACAAGGAAGTGAAAAGCAATTTGCTTGGAGAATCTTGCAGTCTATCAGATGTCACTTAGGGTGTTTTTCCATGCACCCCTTCAAATGTTAATACTTGACACAACTACTAATACATGTCATTGCCTACGTCTGACACATGTTTGTGGCAGATAGCATTAAAGTGTGCATTATGATAATCAGTTTCCTTTCCTTTCTGTCATCAAGGTAAAATATAACAGAGGGTGTCATCTTAACATTTGTTCTCGAACTTCATTCAAGACTTGGCAATTACAATCAATGACAATCAATAAAGTAATTGATAGCAATTGATAGCAATTACGAAGATTTGAATTTTGAGTATCGATTTTCATCGATTTATTGAGGCAATCGATAATAATCGATTAATTCTAATTGATTATATTGATTATATCGATTGCCTTCTGATGATCGATTTTTATTGATTGGACACGCCTGAATATTATCACCTGTAACAAGCCAAATTTGCCAAAACAATTTCCTTCAGTGCAATTTAGCCAATCAGAAGCATGAAATTCAAATTGCATGTTCATCATGAAACAAGGCAGGTAAACATGTGATCACAAAAAAATTATGGTCGGGTCAATTTTCACTTGGCCTTCTTTTGACCATGGTCAATACAGTATAACCTCTCTTCAATGGCCACATTGGGGACAGAGGAAAGGGGCCTTTGTAGAGAGGTGGCCATGCTGACAACGTGAAACACTGAATTTCTGGTTGGCTGGCAAGTCAAATTATGCTTGCTCATCTGAAGCATCACAGCAAGTGTTAGAAAATCATGTATTGCCATTTCTACTTCATGAAAATCACAAAATGAAACAAGGATATGCTTTCTGCTCATCATCTGAGCAGTAAACTCTGATATGCTTATCTACGTTATTATCTATATTAAAACTTGATGACTTAAAATAAATTTTATCTTGAGTCGTCAAGTTTTCTTTGATGTGATGCATATGTAGTAACTGTAGTATAATGTTCCTCAAAGGAAAAGTCTTCAGTGACATATTTGGTTGAAAGAAAATAAGTTTAATTAATAGTTCCTCCCACTGAAATATGACAACCAGAAAAATTTGTGCAAGAATGACGTCACGTAATGTGGTTTCTTGCAAGCAAAACAAGTTGAGCATGCACCATAATTCCTAACTTTTTTCACACTTGGGCTTTTAGTGTGTTGCAGACATTTTTCTCTTCTCAGGCTTGGCATTCCCAGTGTGTCTGTGGGCAAGTCTATTATTTTGTGGTGAAAGTGATGTTAGAAATCTTATATCTTTTTTTAAGTGTTGTGTTAACCTGATCTTCCTATGTTATTATGTTTACTTGAACAGAATGGAAATGAGTCAGCCAATGCCTAAAGAAATGTACGGCTGTTCAAAGTGCAACAGGAGCTATGCTGAGTCTTCCAAACTTGCACACCATATGGGGATACATGCTGTTGAAGAGCTGTCCAAGTCTACCCAATGCAAAGTGAGTTGCACAACATCTCAAGAGCTTGAAGTCCAAGAAAGCACCCACTCTGGCCTGAAACCCATAAAATGTCCTCAATGCAGCAAAAGTTTCACACCATCAGATGAAACCAACTGTGAAAGCCATGAAAAAAGTCACACAGGTGCAAGATGTTACACATGCCCTCATTGCAGTGAGAAATTGTATACTGGAACAGCAAGAGAAGTGCATGAAAAGAACTACAATGCAGAGAAGCCTCTTGAATGCTCTTATTGTGATATGAGATTTCGATATACATCACAACGAGACATACATGAGAGAGTTCATACAGGTGACAAGCCATTTAAATGCACTCAGTGTGAGAAGACATTTTCCATGTTATTCACTCTTAAAAACCATGTACGAATCCATACTGGTGAGAAACCTTACCACTGTCTTCAATGTGATGCAAATTTTACAGGTAAAACAAGCCTTACACAGCACATGAGAATACATTCTGGAGTCTATCCCTACAATTGCCCCTACAATAATTGTGGGAAGAAATTTAGAACAGCTGCCTCTCTGAAAAGGCACGTTGTGATACATACAGGAGAGAGGCCTTATCAATGTTCCGAATGTGAAAAAAGATTTACTTGTAACGAAGCGTGACTTGAACAGACATCTTGCAGTGATTCACAGTCCAAAGAAATCAGTCAGACGTAATAATACATCTACAGAGAAGCCTTTAAAATGTGCCTTTTGCGATATGAAGTTTAGATATAAGTCACAACGAGAACAACATGAGATATTACACACAGGTGTCAAGCCATTTGAATGTACACAGTGCCATAAGAAGTTTGCAAAGAAGTCATGTCTTACAAGACATCTACGTGTACATACTGGCGAGAAACCTTACCACTGCCCTCAATGCGATGCACGCTTTGCAGGATCAACAACTCTTAATCAGCACATAAGAATACACAATGGAGAGTACCCCTACAATTGTCCCTGTTGTGAGAAGAAATTTCGAGTAGCAACAAACCTGATGAGGCATGTCTTCACACATACAGGGAAGAATCCTCACAAATGCCCTCAGTGCGATAAACAATTTGCCAGTGTTACAGAGTTGAAGAAACATGGAGTGGTTCACAGTTCTGAGAGACCATACAAGTGCACTGTTTGTGGAAATAGCTATAAACGAATTTCTGCTCTGAATCTACACAAAAAGGTTCATGTTAAAGAGGGTCATTCTACAGATGAAAGTAGTACAGTAACTATTGTTGTTAAAGCTGTACTTTGAAAGTACAGGATTATTACTCAACTCAATAGATGATGTACATTAGAGGAGAATCGACTTTGAAGTTGATCTGCAATGCAAGTCGGCTATTGTGACACAATTCATGTGTTTCTAGAGGCATCTTTTTCTCATGCCAAGACCCTGCAGCCTAATGGAACAGGGGGGGGGGGGGAAGGGGGTTGACCATTCCCTTTGAGTATTATTTGGCAGCCAGTATCACTCTTTGGATCTGCATTGTGGACATCACAAGCTTCAACACCATGACAAGGTGACATACCCAGGGTGACAAACAAATAATCAAAGGGCTGTCACAGATAATTTTTTTCAAATATTTTTTCAAAGCCTTGTGTTTGAACATGCTTATTACAATTCCACAGTAAATAATGGGGGTTATTGGACTACCATTTTAGTTATATTAAGCACTTAAATAACGCTCAAGCCCAGGTTGTTTTAACAAATTAATTTGATGTATGGTATCCTGTTATATGAGCCGATTGCAACACGGTCTTTTGTGTCCATAGTATGTGAATTAAATTAAAGGTTCATCTTGATTTATCATCATCTTATTCATGCAAGATGTGTTGATAACTTGATAAAACATTACCAACTTTGTTCCCCTTTGGGAGCAAAATTTCACATTACTGTCTACCAAACTCAAATGATCGATGGAGAAAATAGTGAAACCACACACTGAACAATTGAATGCTCACAATTGATCATTTGTTGAGTTTCTGATATAAGAAAAACAAATACTCTTTTTCCTCCATGGTTAACTTATTGCAATCAGGAGCTCCGCTTTTAGGCCTGGCTAAACTATATATTATTGATTTGTGTCATAATACCCTATAATGTCAGTGTAAGGTTATGAACATGCTCAAGTATTTAGCATTTATCAATGCTAAATTGGCAGTGGAGACTGTAGTTTGTTTACATCTTTAAATCGTTCTATGCCAAAATGAACTTGTTTTGTATCGATAATCTGCCAAATCGTTTTTTAACAACAACAAAAACAAACAAAATTATATTCAGAGGGGTGGGAGGTCAAACCAAATATCCTTCTATAGGGGGTTTAGAAATGTTTTAAAAAGGTAGACCACAGTACTACTATGAAGCAATAAAAGATACCGTTCCTCCATCTAGTTTACAACCTTACTGTCAGCTGTGAGACTACATGACTAGTGTCTAGGTGACCATTTTATTTTATTTTATTTTATTTTTTTAGAAATGTTTTAAAAAGGTAGACCACAGTACTACTATGAAGCAATACAAGATACCATTTCTCCATCTAGTTTACAGCCTTACTGTCAGCTGTGAGACTACATGACTAGTGTCTAGGTGACCATTTTATGATCTCCTCATCCGCTTCCCAACTTCTCTCACCATCCTTGCCAAACATCTTGCAGTTATTGAGTTGTGCTTGTGTTCCAAGTTGTTTTGTTCTGTCTATGTCTGACCGAATTGATCAGAGTTCTTTTTTTCAATCAAATATAGAGATTAATGAAATACGCTCAAAAAGAGACTATCCCGCATGTGCATGGGGGGAGGGGAAGGAGGTTCCGAAACGCCGGAGTAACTGGTCACGTGATAGACCATTCAGTTCATTTCGACGCCATATTGGGGAAAATTCGGTGGAGAGTAGAGCAGCCTACTTGATTAATTTGGAGAAAGGTAGGATTTAAAAACTTAGAGATCAGACCAGCAGGCAAGTGAAGTAAAATACTCTGCAACTTGAAAAGAGTTTCGAAAAGACGGCTGCAATCGCAAAATAGCCGGCGATTCTATGCCTTACGACACTGTCAGAATCTAATCATAGCTCTAGAAGTTCACTACGAGAATTTATGGGTCCGCCTGGGTATTTATTTACCTGACTATTTATTAAAATTGTCTCTACCCCCGACACAATTTATTCGGAGCTCTAAAAGCTCTGCGCTCTGTCACAACTTTGTTATTTGCAGATCTCAAAATTCACTAATGGCTATATCCCAGGGAGGGGGGACTCCCACATAGAAAGGACGGGGTGCCTGCCGGAAATTTTGAAAAGAACCATTAAGAGGTACCAAGATCCTGTTTGTTTTACATCTTGAATTTTGTGTTACATCCAAGCATCCAAGAGGTACCAATTCTCAAACAACACATAATCTCCTGTCATTTTTTTTTTGGCTCAATGCCCTAAAACAGGGATCCATATTGTTTTTTTGTTTTTTTTCAAGTCGTCAACAGGGCAAGTATGCCAGATGACATAGTTGCCCTGGCAAAATTTTACCTGTCCATTCAATAGGGACCACAATATGACCAGCACCCAGTTGGCTTGATAGCTCAGTTGGTAGAGCACTACATCAGTATCGCAGAGGTCATGGGTTTGAATCCTGTTCAGGCCTGAATTTTTTGTGAGGCTTTAATTTCACAACTGTTTATTGTTGTGTGTATAACTGCGATGATCAGTCATGTCTTCATCTTTCTCCGCAGTTCAAAATGATCTTTCATATATTCACTTGAATTCTTCATCATCTACGGGTACATTATAAACTTACAATGTGACCAGCTCCCAGTTGGTTTGATAGCTCAGTCAGAGCACCGCACCAGTATTGTAGAGGTCATAGGTTTGAATCCTGTTCAGGCCTGAATTTTTGTTTCAGGCTTCGATTACTGCTTAAGTTGTGTGTATAACTGTAAATGATCAATCATGTCTTCTTAATGATTTCATTCATGGAGAATACCACATCATCCAAGATGGCAGTCCAACTGAAATGATAATTTTATCTTGGAAGTTGTGTCTATAACTGTAAATGATCAATCACGTCTTCTTAATGATTTCATTCATGGAGAATATCACATCATCCCAGATGGCAGTCCAACTGAAATGATGATTTTACTGTGGAAGAAAGCTGCAAGTGTTTCTCTGTTTCTAAAATTTCCAAAATGGATGACAAGGGGTCAGAATGCAGGGAACTCATAACAAAATTTAAGAATTTTTTTTGGTAGAGTCAAACTAAACTTGTCCAGCAGATGAGTTTTTGTATTTTTGTATGTATTGCAGTTCATTTAAAGATCTCAAATATGAGTACTGTAATATAATGGTTATTGACCAAAAATGAGGTCAAGATGGCTGGATATCAGCCAAGTTCTCTTTTTGCTTGTGTTTATAGACCAAGACAGAGTTGAGGCCCATAAACCTGCAAAAAAAGAACAAGCCCAATATCCAGCCATCTTGACCGAACAAGCTTGGTCAATAAACAATTTATTTTATGGCTTTCAGGGAAATTTTTATGGGACACAGCGGGTGGTCCCAAGCGGGCAAGATAGTGCGATCTCGCCCGCCTGAATGGCCAATCATAGTGCAGGATTTTGTTCACCTTGCCTGCTCACAGAGCTAGCCATATAATATTAAGATTTATTTTTTTGTCAAGCATTTGAGCAGGCTGGAATCCTAAATCCTTGAATTTGATTGGCTAATCATGCGCTCATGACCAGTCCGGCAAGGAAAGTCACTGTAAGTAAATTCAATTGAGTGTTTTGAAGTTGTGAGAGTTTGCTTGTTTGTTTGTAGCTTGGTGCTGTAATGGCGCGTAATCCTGTGTTTCTCTCACCGTAAAATTTGAGTCAATTTCAGTCGAGTTCACCTCTCTGATCGTTGCTGTATGTAGGAGAATTTCTGTGGAACACACTTAATGAATTTCCTTGCTTTCTGCTATTCGATTTATGGTAGAAAAGTCTGATTTCAAGTGATTTTAATAGCAACAACTGACAGAAATTGTTAAGTTGTAGTAAAACTTCAAACATCGCACAAAATTTCACACCGCAAAAACAATTTTGGAGAACTTAAATGGTGAAATAAATGCAACTAACATAAAGTAGTTCAAAAAAAATCTGTTCTTTAATACATCTTTCTTTGTCTACTATCTGAGTTACTAGCTCATTGCGGAGATTTTTTACAAATTGTTAGTAGACGGCACTCAAGCTGATTCAATGACAAATTTGCATAAACAAACCCATTTGTAATCTGTAAGACCAATTTACTGCAGGAAAAAAAATAAACATGTTATTTGTTGGCTTAGGGTCGGTCCTTTCAAGACCTCAGTCACAGTTTTTCACTATGCAGACCTCCCAGCCGGCAAATAACATATATATACTAATTAAAAGTTCCTACAGAGAGGATCTTTCATCCATAGACCAATGGGAAATGTTACATAATTTAAACCACAATACATTAGAAATCTAAGCCTCACATTTGACAACAGAATCTTCTATCTGGAAATGTAAGTATGAGGCTAAGGTTGTCTAAGGCAGTATTCAGATTTAGCCTCATTTACATGTACAGTATACAATCAATCTATGGCACAAGGCAAGTACCCAAAATCCTAAATTTTCCTTTAGTCACTTAAAATTGTTAGGCAAACAAAATGGTAGCATGTCAATAATTGACATGCTCCCATTTTGTTGGCTTAAGGCTAATTATTAGCCTTAGGCCATGTTTATGTGGAGGTAGGATGCTCCGGCTAACTAGGCTACTTGGCGAGGAGAGTAAAAGCATAGTGCCTCTTTACATGCAACTCACCTAAGTGGGATAGTCAGTGGGTTATCTTTAGAGCAGCTGGAAAGCACAGCAAACAAGATGGCAGACAAAAGAAACATTTTAGTAGCATAATTATTTTAATTTCTTATCTCTCGTTCCTCTTGTGGCTGCTTTTCAGCGTCTACTGCTGTTATTTTGCACCCTACTAATAATTGAGTGTAGTCACCTGAGGCAGGTAACATTAAAAGCTGCCTTGCCTTGTCTTGCCTTGTGATCTTCTCACCTTGGCTAACCTAGTAACCCAGTGCAAAAGCGATTACATGACAAAAAGGTAGTGTGCCTCGGGGAAGTAGACATGTTAAATAATTATTAATACTTCAATGCATTTTCTAAAGAAACATGTGAAACGTTTGCTCTGCTAAGGTACCTCTGTCAGCCAGGTAACTCAGTTACCAGGCCCCCTTCCTCCATGTAAACAGGCCGTCAGTCTCAACTTGTCTGTCTAGAATAGACAAACAGCCACAAAAACAAGCAACAGCATTGTTGGGACTATATGTTTCTCAAACTCAAATACTTGCCGTGACAGGATCCGCTTGCAGATTTTGATGAACCAAATTTCTAAAGCAAAACATTGGCATTCTGCTATAAGAAAAGAGGGGAAAATCATCTGGATCTGCACATGTACCAGACGCTTTATTAAATAAGTCAATGTTAATAGAGATTGCATATCATAATTTTTTCCTGTTTATGTTTTTTTTTTGTTTTGCTTTTTTCACAGATCTTTGAAAAGCCCTTCAACTACTAATGGAATTCTTGTTTGCCAACCCCTACTGTACAAGATATGTAAAGATCCTGCAGGCAAAGCAGTACGTGCTATATTAAACACTGCTAAATGGACCAACTAATGTGATAATCCAAAGCAACTGAATACTCATCAGAACCTGTACTAAAGAGAATCCTTGCAAGCAACCTGACAGTAACGAGAGTGTGTACTGCTTCTGATATGTCACATATCAAAGAGAGTACCCAGGGGAAATATGTTTGCCCCCATTGTAACAAGAGGTTAAGAGAGCGTGAACGACTAGTAGTGCATATACGGACACACACTGGGGAGAGGCCCTTCAAGTGTTCACACTGTGATAAGTGTTTTAGATCGGAACAAACTAGGAAAATGCACATAAGGACACACACTGGAGAGAAGCCTTACAAATGCTCTCAGTGTGACAAGAGTTTTATTGCATCTTCAGGTCTTGTATTTCACAGAAGAATGCATAGTGGATTAAAACCTTTCAAATGTCCTGACTGCGACAAAAATTTTAGAACTGCTTCTGATTTGGAATGGCATAGAAGAAGACTGCATACAGGTATTGGCAACAGTACCCAAGGGGCTCATGTTTGCCCTCATTGTCCCAAGATATACAGATACCCTTCAAAACTTGCAGTGCATATACGAACACACACCGGCGAAAAGCCCTACAAATGTCCTCTCTGTGATACATGGTATACGTCAGTGGAAGGTCGCAAAATGCACTTAACGAGAATCCACAGTGGCACTGAAAAGAAGTCTTTCCAGTGTTCTCTCTGCAGTGAGAATTTTAGTTCATATTCAGCTCTCACAGAGCACAGAAAGACACTGCATAAACGAGTTAGTAAATCTGCTGATGAGCCAGGGACTCCATACAAATGTTCTCATTGTGACAAGAAATTTAAAACAGCATCAGGTTGTGGAAAACATTTGCGGAATGTCCACTTAACAGGGAAAACTTACAAATGCCCTTGGTGTGACAAGCAGTATGCACTGCCTTCGCTTCTGACTTTGCATAAAAGATCACACACGGGTGAGAGACCGTTCAAGTGTACTCACTGTGACAAGAGGTTCATAACAAAACCAACATGCAACAAGCATATACAATTACACACAAGAGAGAATGGTCACCATTGCCCTGACTGTGATAAATGGTTTGGCTCTGCTTCACGTCTGAGGGATCATTCAAAGGTGCACACTGTTGACAAGCCGTACCAATGTGCTGACTGCGAGAAGTGTTTCAAACGTAAATCCAATCTTGTAGAACATGAACGAATCCACAGCAGTGATACTCCTTATAAATGTCCTCTATGCGACTCGAGATTTAAGTTTTCTAAGAAACTTAAACAACATAAAAGAGTACATCATGAGGAAGAGTCTTAGTATCCGCATTGTGCTGAAGTCTTTAAATATTGCGTAGTTGCAGAAAATATCCAAGCCTTCCCCAGGGAAGACCCCTCCCCCACCCCTCTGGAAATACCAATTTGCTTCATACATTTCTTTAAATTTTTGGTCCTACAGNCACCCCCCAGGAAATTCCATTCCCTTCTGTGGGGAGAGTATGGATATTTTCTGGAATTGCAACTTAAAAGAGACCTTACCTGCCACATGGGAACTTGCACTACAGGTTAAATGTCATATATTATTTATTTTGATATGCAGTGCTATTTGCTCAGCCGTCATTTCATATGAATTCAATGTTATTAGATGTATTCAGTGTGGGAAGGGCTTCATTCAGTTAGCAGGTATTAGCATACAAAACAAATTCACACTTTCCAAAATCAAGGAATACTTCAGCTCATGAGAAGTGTTTTGAGAAATGTTTTGAAAAATGTGACGTGCCTGGTACAAGCAGTTCAATCACAGAAAATTGCTATATATCCGCTCTTCTATGTGTAAACCTAAAAGAGCACAAATGAAGATTGTTGTTGTTGTTAGTGTTGCTGTCTGGACGTGCATTATAGAACTTGCTACATTTCTTTGCTGTCCTCTGCAAAACAGCAACATGGAACCGATCGCCTAAGCTCAATATGTGACACTATGATATGATTCCGAATAGGAAATCAATACTTTTGAAATGTAAAAGTCGAATCAGAGTTCTGAAACTTTCCTGTAATATTAAATTTTTCCATATGATTGTAGAAGAAATCTGTAAGTTTGCATGTTTTTACTTAATGTATTTGTTCTTTCTGTCAAGAAACCTTTTCAGTTTTTCATTGTCATGGGGCTTTTTGACTTTGGAAAATTCTTCTAAAATTCAGGACAGCTGAAAGTACATTGCATGTTATTCCACAACCTATGAAATGTCGTTATATCTTATTGGTCCTTATTAGTACATGCAGCGATCAAAGAGCCTCTTGGTCCTCTCAGCCGACGGGGCCTTGTTTCGATGTATTAAATTTCAGCCTAAAACAGTAGACCTCAGCACGAGGCTCTGGGAAATAAATACAGAGTTTGTGGGGTTTGTTCCCCAGAGCCTCGTGCTGAGGTGCATTGTTTGAGGCTGAATTTTAATATATCGAAATTGGTCTATTTCCGCTAATTCACCGTTGGTTAATTTCCTGAAAATAAGCACTGGTTGATCATTTTCTGAAACCGTTTGATCATATGTACAGCAGCCACATTCAGTGATGTCAACCAGCGATTAACTTCCGGAACCACCTTTTCCGCGTGCCAAGGCCTCGCAAGCTAAGATGGACAAGCGGTTTCTGGGGACGAGAGTGCTCTTTTCTTCTTCCACCCACACCCACTATCGGTCTTGTCGCGTAAGCTTGAACAGTGGCGGATCCAGACCTTGAGCTAAGGGGCGGGGG